TTCGTACTGTGAATTGTGTCTCAAATATATATGAATTGTATACCAAATATTACTCAAAATATATAAAATGTTGCCAAATTTCCATGAAAGTTCATCAAATTGTCCATTAATGATCGTGGTATCTATGCGTTCTATGCTATCTGTGAAATCAAGGAGACCAATCTGCACAAAGAGAAATTAAAAGTCAGAATAAATATGTCAAACGAAGTCAAATGTATAAAAATGAAACGATAATCAACTGCAAATTCTATTAAAAAATCGAGATAAGCTACCGGTAACAGTACGAGTGAAATCGACAATCAAAGAAAAATTGGCGCAAAAAGTTTCAAGGCATTACACGATTTCGTTATCGTAATGCTCAATTAATTGTTAAACACACGCGTATTAATTAAATGATACTATTAATGAGGTATAAATGGAAGTGAAAGTGTGTCGACCCCATCGAAAAGACGCTATCGATAGGTTAGAAATAGATGTTGTTATTACGAGATTCGATAACCGAATGACTTTCCGCGATACTTCTCGTCTCGCAATTGAGAAAATAATACATGGCGTGGATTTGCCTGAACAGGCTTGATAATTAAGCTGAACATAACATAAACATTATGTCCATGTGTTGTTTTGAATTTCGTACTTCAAGACCTTCTGCGCCTTACTTTATTCGAGAAATGAAAAATTTTATTATATTACGCAGTAAAATTGTTAAATACGTACATTTTTAATAATTATTGAATTTAATATTTATAAATAAATTGTTAAGAATTACACAGTATTAAATTAAAGGATCAACATATAAGTAGAAAATGTTACAATAGAAGTGTGTGTGTAGCTAAAAGTACAAATTTTATCTTAATATTATTATCTTATATTAAATATATAACACAAACGCAAATTTAATAACTATCGATTTAAATTTTTACCTGAGAAGTTTGGGATGATACTTCTTTCCGGATGATTTCTCTGGATAATATTTTCGCCTTTGCAGACGAGGTGTGCTTTCCTCCGCCATTTTTAACCGCCACTTTCCGATTAAAAATCGATGATGATGAATATCGATCTCGAGTTCGAGAATCGTAGGAAGTATATTCCGTATTTCGCCGTTGGCGCTGTCATCACTAATTAATTTGAACTCAATACGCGCGCATTTCGCACAAAATATGAAATAAAAAATTCTGATCTGAAGTCAAAAAGAACGAAAATATTCATATATTAGATGAAATTTTATCAAGGCTGAACTATTATACTTTCCTGAAAAAAAAAGAAATTGTAGAATAATTAACTTGATTTTATTTTAAATAGTAATGTTTCTATTTTCAGTTTATTTCGTTTAATCACAGTCTTCAGTTTGTTTTGTTTAATGTTATTTACTTTTACACTATGCAGCAAAAGTAAAAGTAAGAATATTTTTCTTCTCGAAAATTATAAAAATATGAACTTTTCGCCGAAGAAAAGTTTTTCCATCACTTTTGTTTCATGATCAGATCAATCTTCAAAAATACATTGTGGGCGAGGCCTAATCATATACGTACCTTGTTTGTGGCGTTACTAACTTCTTTGTATAACATAACCTCAAAGTTGACAAGATCAATTTCACTATATGTACATAACATAAATACTTGTTTAAATGTAAATAATAATATATTATTAATGTTTTTCAATAAGGAGAAGTTGTTGTTATATATATAATAGCATACGTATATATATGTATATATGAAGACTATCCATTTATTTTAATATGATTTAATAGAAAATTTTGAAATGGCACCTCTTACGGATTTGCTCTCATGTAGTATAATTGAAAAAGATTCTAATGGTGACATATTATGGACGTGGTCCTACCCAATCGTTTCAGAATCGCAAAAAGTGGTTGTTGCAAGAAAATGCAATTTAGAAGTAGAACATAATTCTCCTCAAGTGTTTGTATTCTCAAGGCATAAGTACGATTGGTTCTACATACACTGTAGTGAAGTATTTGATTCGGATAAGTTACCAAAAGTAAGTCACACGCTTTTTTTTTAAGTAGAAATATTAATATCTTTATGTAGGAATGTAATGAAAACATCCTAAAGTTCTGTTTAAAACAGGTGAAGCAGTTCGCGTTGGTCTTGTTTGCTAAAGACTTTAATCCAAGAAAGTATGAGGTATTGTCGAGAGTCCTTAGCAAAATGTACTGCAAAACTGGCAAGCCGACAGAGATACTGCAGTTATATCTCTCCGTATTTACAAAAGGATCATGTTCCACTCAGGAAAATGGAACATTTGTTTCCGATGACTTTAACAGCCATTGTTTTATAATAAGTACAAATGTCAGAGAAATGATTAAAACATTCGAGTTAGAAACAATCTTAATATACACTGCTCTTCTTCTGAAGAAAAGGATAATAGTTTATCATCATAGCCTAGAACAGCTTTTAAAATGGATTGGAATATTTCCTCTGTTGATGAAACACCGTAAAGTCACTGATAATTTGTTCCCTTGGATTGATTTAATTGATGATGAATTGGCAGAATTAAAGGTATATTGATCAAATTGTATTTTGTAATTGCCTGACAAGTATTATGCACCTCTGATAATTAAATTTTTTCAGGGACTTTCACACTACATTGCTGGCTGCAGAAACAGCTCCATTTCGTCAAGAACAGATTTGTTTGACCTGCTTGTGAATATACCAGCCAGAGAAATCACAGTTGCGTCTCACGCGAAAGGTAAACAAAAGTGCAATTAAAAATATCGTTGCTTTATTAGGCAATTTATATTAATTCCATCAATTTATTTAGAAAGCCTGACAATGACGAAAACACACAAGGAGATAGCCCTATTTATGATCCAACTGAGTGAGAATCAGTCCTACATTGAGAGCCAAATAATATCTGAGATAAACGACAAAACTCAAGACCTGTTGAATCAGTTAAAATCTCTAGCCGTAGTTCAAGGACCGGATGGAAGGAAAATGGTATCGGCGCAAACATTGAAAGAAAAGAACTTACCACTAGCGGTAGAACATTTTCTAATCAATTTAGCTGTAGTTGAGAATTTGCTTTTACTGTAAATGTATTCGTCGAATGTGTGATCATCAAATAAATAATTTCAATCTAATTGCGCCGATTGATTTCAAATCAGTCATTGATAAGTAATTGATCAGTTCAATTCAGGGTCAGCAACATTCAACGGATTTCTCGTGACATCTAGCGGCAAATCCGTATACGCGTATTATCGAAATTAATGTAAGAACGGCGAGGAAAGATCACCAATCACAGCGGAAAAATACTAAACCAAGCGGTGTTTTTTTTTCATAACGTGTCAATTATGTATACTGGTTGTTCGCAAAATGCGAGGTAACGTGACCGAGTTGATTTGACTTGCATATTACGGGAAGCCATTTTTCCATAGTGGCCGCCTTTCATCCGGTACACGCGGTCGAGGCCCCGCCGTGACAAACGTCGCGTACGAAGAAAAGCGGATCTTACATTTTCCACAAAAATTTCGCAAGTTCCACGGCAGATTATATGGTGTGAAATCGACTGTGTACGTGTGAGAAAATGGCGCGATACGGACAGAGACCCGAGAACGCTCTGAAAAGAGCAAACGGTACGTGTGACTATTCCGTAACGAAATATGACATGGCCGATAGCTATTTAATTTAGATTCCGAAAATTCCTTTGTCCTATTTCATGTGAATATCTCGTAATCCTCAGTTGCTCTATTTAACCGTATATTTCCACGATTTACTAGTCAGTCGTCACAAGTGACGTCCCCCATTTGTTGCAGAACATTCAGTTCGATAGCACGTCCTCTTCGACTTTTTAAAAACATTCATGTCACCTAACCATATGCATCTAGAACGGAACAACTCTGCAAGATTCTAAGAGTTCTGAATAGTTCTAAAAGATACGCCACGACTACAAGTGAAACGCAACGTTTTATTTTTTCATACGACTTTTTGTTCGAATTAATTTATATCGAATAAAATCATTCAGTATATACATTGTACGAACGAGCGAACATTTATAGTGAATACTTGTTGAATCTTGCATGCAGTTTTATTTGGGAGTCCTTTTCGCAATATTAACATTGAACCTCTTTAACTTTGTATCTCTTTGTTCTGTTACATAAACACTAGCTATAACACATATTTTTAATACAGTTAATATCAGAATGAATTATTGCAGAGCAGTGTGATCTATACAGATTTATATGTTATTATATTTATTATGTTATATTATTATATTTATCTATAAGATGTTATATTCTATTAAATATCTTTGAGAAAATTTCTAAACATGTGTTTTCCCCTTTTTTTTTATTTTTAACAGAGTTTATTGAAGTGGGAAAGCCAGCCCGAGCATTAGATACTCTACAAGAAGTCTTCCGCAATAAAAAATGGACTTACAATTGGTCAGAGTCGGTGTTAGAACCGATAATGTTCAAATACCTGGACCTATGTGTGGAGCTAAAGAAATCGCATATAGCAAAGGAGGGCCTATTTCAATATCGGAATATGTTTCAATCCGTGAATGTCGGAAGCTTGGAAAATGTCATACGTGGTTATCTACGCATGGCAGAGGAAAAGACAAACCAAGCAAGAAAGCAGAGTCAACAGGCTGTTATAGACATAGATGATCTTGATAATCTGGCCACACCTGAAAGCATATTGTTGTCAGCAGTGAGCGGCGAGGATGCACAAGACCGAAGCGACCGTACTATCCTGACACCATGGGTGAAATTTCTATGGGAATCTTATTGCCAGTGTTTAGAATTACTAAGAACCAATGCTCACGTTGAGACATTGTATCACGATATTGCACGTATGGCCTTCCAGTTTTGTCTTGAATATAATCGTAAGACTGAATTTCGTAAATTGTGTGAGAAACTGCGAAAACATTTGGAGGAGATTTGTAAATTACCGGCTCTTGTGTCGAATGTTTCCATGAACAGGGCAGAAACACAACAGCTGAATCTGGAAACGCGATTGAATCAGCTTGATTCTGCAATACAAATGGAGCTGTGGCAAGAAGCGTTTAAATCCTCTGAAGATGTGCACGGTATGATGAACTTGTCCAAGAAACTTCCAGTGCCAAAAACTATGGCTAATTATTACCAGAAACTGGCTATGGTTTTCTGGAAGGCAGGAAACTATCTATTCCATGCTGCGGCGTTGTTTAAATTACTGCAGCTCTCCCGCGAAATGAAGAAGAACATGTCCTTGGAGGAACAGCAGAGAATGGCCAATCGTGTCTTACTAGCCACTCTATCTATTCCACTGCCATCGGCTCACCCAGAATTTGATCGTTTCATCGAAACGGACAAGAGTCCCCTGGAGAAAGCTCAAAAACTTGCCACGCTCCTGGGACTTACTCAGCCACCAACTAGAGTTTCCTTGCTTAAAGATATCGTTCGTTTGAATATCGTCAACTTAGCATCGCCGCAGTTGCAAGAATTGTACTCGTGGCTCGAGGTCGAATTTCACCCTTTGGAACTGTGTAGTCGAGTAGATTCTGTTATCCAGACGCTGCAGGCGGACGAAAATAGCCCTTTAATTCAGTATATCCCAGCTCTGCAAGACGTAACTCTTGTACGTCTGGTTCATCAAATATCGCAGGTTTATCAGACCATACAATTCGCTAGACTTTTAGAACTTGCCAAATTCACGACAGACTTTCACCTGGAACGTCTGCTAGTCGATTGCGTGAGATACAACGACATGCAGATAAGAATCAGCCATGGGAAGAAGTGCGTGCACTTTGGAGTTGATCTATCGGAGGCTCAGAGGGAAGATCATCCCGACGGTCCCGTGTTGCAAGCAATGCCTTCTGAACAGATCCGTTGCCAACTCGTGAATATGGCCACCGTGTTGCACAGAGCGATCAATATTATTAATCCGAACAAGAAGAAAATGGAGCGCGAGAAGCTGCGTGCCGCCATGGTGAGCCATTATCACGAGACCAAGATGAAGGAACACCAAAGGATCCTCGGAAGACATAAAATCATCGAAGAAAGAAAGGAGTATATCGAACACATAAACACAGTTCGCGAAGAAGAGGAAATGCGAAGACAAGAGGAGCTGCAGAGGCAGCAAATGTTGGCGGAGCAAAAGAGGCTCGAGCAGGAGAGAGAGGAACGCGAGAGGAAACGGCAGCAGAGCGAGATCCAACAGATCAAGGATAGGCATCTGAAGGAGAAGATGCAACAGATATCTCAAACTAGTCACGGTCAGAAGGTATTGAAAAAATTGGATGAGGACGAAATCAAGAAATTAGACGCGGAACAAATCGCAGCCCGGGAAGCTGAGGAATTGCAGAAAGAACGCAGAGAGATGCAACAGAAATTGAAGTCTCAGGAGAAGAAGATAGATTACTTGGAACGTGCCAAACGTTTAGAGGAAATACCGTTGCTGGAGAAGGCGGTCGAAGAGAAGATGGAACTGGCTAAACAGCGCTGGGAACAACAGGAAGCCGAACGAATCGCTGCGGCCATCGAGGAGAGACAACAAGCTGTCGCCACTCGCGAACGCATGGCAAGAATGAAGGAAGATCATGATATTTTCTTGGCGAAGATCTTAGCCGAACGTAAGAGTATTTATCTGGAGAAGCTGAAGGAATTTGAGAAGGTATTGAACGAAGAGAGGGTGAGTAGATTGCTGAAACGTAAGATGGAACGTAAAGCCGAAAGAAAAGCTAAATGGGAGAAAGAGCGAGCTGAAGCTATCGAGAGAAGGCGTTTAGAAGAATTTCGTATTAAGCAAGAAGAGGAGAAGCGACGTTTGGAAGAGGAAAGAGCTAAGAGAGAAGAGGAGGAAAGACTAAGGCGTGCAGAGGAAGAGGCGAGAGAGGCTGAACGTTTGGCGAAAATTGAGAAACAGGCAGAGATCACCAGGGCTAGGGAAGCTGAGATAGAACGAAAGTTAGAGGAGGAGAAACAGAGGGATAAAGAAATGGTGGATAGATGGAGACGCGGAGAACGTCACCGTATGCAAGAGAAGCCAGGTGAGTTTATTATTGTCGAAGTTATTTTAAAGATTGCACGATATATTTTATGTTTTGCTTGATTGCAGTCGAAATGTCTTGGCGTCGTCCTGTCGATGCGAAAGATGACGGTATTAAAGAAGAATCTACCCGTTGGAAAAGGCGGGATCCAAGAGACATGGATAATAAATGGCGGAAAGATGACGATAAACCGAAGAAAGAGACTATCGAGAGATGGAGAAAAGACGATTACGACGTCAAGGATGATACAAGAGATAACAGAGATCGAATAGATAATAAAGACCGTGGAATGGATGGACGTTCAGTAAGTATATAATTGTGTAAAAACTTTTAACGAACTGTGAGAAAAATACGTTTTTAAATTATGCTTATTAATATTTTACAGATGCGTGACGTTCCACGTGATCCGATATCTGATGGACCTCGTAATCGTGGCAGAATGTCCGATCGTCGTGGAGGTGGTGGTGGTGGTGGTGGTGGTAGTGCCGGTGCTGGTGCCAGTGCTGGCGGCGGTGGTGGCGGCGGTGG